AATACCGTCAAGTTTTAAAAATATCTTAGCAGTTTCTACAAACACTAAATCATTAGCTGGTTTTAACGTGGGGAGGTGGGGGGGGGGGGGTTTGACCACCCCGCACCACCGCCAGCTGTGGTGCGCATTAAGTTTAGTTTTAGAGATTAATATGTTTATAGATTTTTTTTTTATAGGTTTAGAGATTAATATTTTTTGCTTTTTGTTTGTGAAACAAGGTCAGAGGAAGCTGGTTCTGGTTCGGTGGATTGGACCCGGTGTTACACCATACTCTGTGACCAGTGCAACACCGCCCCCTACGGTTACACGGTGGTCACATAATATGACGTCACTGCGGTTACTCGACGTTACATTTTTAACCTCGATAGATGTCCTAGCAATCGATGTGTAGATTACTCGAGTACTCTGTTAATGCCCTAGTCTCAATGTAACGTTTGCTTAATAAAGTGCGTTTAATGCACTTTGAGTGTCAAATCAGCTGCATTTCCAAACCCAATAATAACTCAATTATCCAGGTAGAAAAATCTAAAAAAGTTAAGTCTGGTCCTCTGGACATTCAAAAAACAAAACAAAACAAAACAACAAAACAAACAAACAAAAACAAAAATAGAAACGTTTCGTCTTTCATCCAAAACTGAAGAAGTCTTTTGGATGAAAGATGAAATTTTCTGGTTTTGTTTTTCTTTGTTTTGTTTTTTGAATGTCCAGAGGACCAGACTTAACTGTTTTAGAGTTTGCTTAATAAATGCACTTTAATGGTCAAATCAGCTGAATTTCTAAAATAGTTTTGCTGCTGAGGTGCTCCCAGGAGTGCGCAGACAGGGAGGAAAAAAAAGGAAAGCGGAGGAATGCTACTCGTTTAATCAAAATTTAACAAGAAAAGCACCTAAACAATTATTTGTTTGCTCGAAATTATAACAAAGGTGTGCCTCAGTCTAACATTTGCTTAATAAATGCACTTGAATAGTCAAATTAGCTGCATTTCGCCGGGGTGGTGCTGCTGTTTTGACGGTTCCAAGCAACGAACAGAATGAAGGTGGGGGGACTGTGGCAAGCTGATTGTGTCATTAATAGCTGGTGAAGATTCTCAGTCATCCAGGACATGGTAAATTCAAAAAAGTTCAAGAAAAAAACAAAGTATAAAGTAAAAAACAATAAAATCCAGTTGTTTTTGTATTGAACTTTTTTGAATTTGTCATTAGCCACATTTACCTATTACATGATACAACAGCATGCCATACAACTATTACTATGTGGCAGCCTCCATCAAAGTTTCTCCAGGAACGTTTTAAGTTAGCTATTCAGTCCACTCAGATCTAAACTGTAATTTCTGCAAAACTTTGGATTTTTAAAAAGACGTCTATGTCAGGATTCTTTTGTGTTTTTGTTTGCTCTTCTTGTGGTTCATGTTTTTAGTTTTTTTTTCTATGAGTCTGTTTTACTTGTGTCTCCAGTTTCCCTTATACTACTACTTCTTTTTTTAGATATTAATAAGAATACCAACTTATCCCAAATACAAAAATGGGAATTTTTAAAATTTTCAATAAGAAAACTCTCTACTTTAGTAAAAGACAAAAATTGGAAACAAGGGAGAAGGAAACTAATTTGGTTCAAACATTGCTAAATTATTACTCTAAAGTGAATTGGTCAGAAGAAGATAAAATAGAAATATCAAATATACAGACTCAGTTAGACCAGTTTTATCTTAATAAAGCCCAAGGTGCATTTGTCAGATCACGAGCAAAGTGGATAGAAGATGGGGAAAAAAATTCATCTTTTTTTATTAGGCTGGAAAAAAGAAGACAGGAAAAAAATGCAATTTCTTGTCTTTTAATTAATGATAAGGAATGTACAAACTCTAAACTAATTTCTAAAGAAATTTATAAGTTTTATAGTAATATTTATTCTCCTTCTTATAGTGAACAAGATTCAAAAATTTTCTTTCAAATGACAGGAGATAAGATTCCAAAAATTGATGAGCACTTCAAAAATTTATGTGAAGAAAATTTAAAATCAGAAGAATTAGATGAAGTTATTAAAAAAATTGCATCTGATCGTTCGCCTGGTCCAGATGGATTAACTGCTAATTTCTATAAGCATTTTTGGGAAGAAATAAAAACATTATTATTTGATGCAATTGTAGAAAGTATTAACCAAAAGGAATTGATGACAACGATGAAACAAGGTTTAATAAAATTAATCCCTAAACCAGAAAAAGACAAAAGAATCTTAAATAATTTAAGGCCTATTACTCTTCTTAACACAGACTATAAACTCCTCACCATGGCTCTGGCATCTAGGTTAAAATCAGGTCTAGGAAAAATCATAAGCAACTCTCAATCAGGATTCATGAAAGGTAGATCAATTCATAATAATATCAGATTAGTTTTAGATCTTATAGATTATAGTGATCTGGTAGAAGATGATGCTTATATTTTATTTCTTGATTTTCAAAAAGCATTTGATTCAGTTGAACATCCTTTTATTTATGATACATTAAAACATTTTGGATTTGGAGAATATTTTTTGGACATAATTAAGATGTTACACACAGATATTAATAGTTGTGTTTCCCTTCCGGAAGGTACAACTTCAAGATTTAATATAGGAAGAGGAATAAGACAAGGTTGTAGTTTATCTCCATTGTTGTTTATTACAGTCGCTGAATTACTGTCCATCCAATTAAAAAACTCAGAAATTGAAGGTATTAATATAGATGGGTCAAAAATACTTATTAGTCAGTTAGCGGATGACACAACTCTGTTTTTGAAAGATAAAGACCAAATACCTGTCGCTCTTCAGGTGATGGAATCATTCTCCAAGGCTTCAGGTCTAATTCTTAATCTTAATAAATGTGAACTTTTAAGTATTCGTGACACCTCGGAAAAGATGCTGTGTAATATCCCAGTGAAAAAGGAGGTCCGTTACTTGGGTGTATGGATATCTAAAGATTCTAAGTCTAGTATCAGTAAGAACATTCAGAGTCCGATTGAGAAATCCAGAACAATCCTAAATAATTGGCTGCAGAGAGACTTGACTTTATTTGGAAGATCATTATTGACAAAAACTGAATTTATCTCCAGACTAATATATCCCATTTATTCTTTATCCCTCTCCACAAAAGCCACTAAAGAAATAAACACCTTAATTTTTAATTTCATTTGGAAAAATAAACATCATTACATCAGGAAAGCAGACATGATTAAAAGTTATGAGGAGGGAGGAATAAAAGCGATTGATTTTGAAACCATGAACGGTGCTCTAAAACTAAGATGGCTTCAGTCATTTCTAAGAAGTAGTGAAGATATTTGGTTCTCTTTACCTAAATTTGTATTTAGAAAATTAGGTGGCCTAGATTTCCTTTTGAAATGTGACTTTGAGGTTTCCAAGTTACCCGTGAAACTCTCTGCCTTTCATCAACAGGTCCTGTTCTACTGGAAAATGGTTTACAAGCATAACTTTAGTCCACATAATGTCCCACTGTGGAACAACAGGGTGATTCTAAGGAGAAGAAAATCAATATTTATGGAGGGATGGATGGAAAAACAAGTTTGGTCTGTTGTTCATTTGATGAATGATGAAGGGGATTTGTTAAAATATGAGGAATTCAGTAATAAATATAGAATAATATGTACATCGGAGGATTACAGAAATGTGGTTGATAATATTCCAAGGGCTATGATTCATTTAATCAAGAATAATTTAGATCAGACTCCAATCCCTAGATTACATAAAATAATAATTAATAACATAAACTTTGTAGATAAAAAGTGCAATAACCTGGTTTTGAGAAAACTCCTAATTGAAGAATTATACCCTGGGTCCTCTAAAAGAACATGTTACTTAAAAAACTTTAACAAACAAGAAATTTGTTCAATTAGAACTAAATTTTTGAAATTTCCAATCCCTCCTAAATTTAAAGAAATCCACTTTAAAATTCTAAATGATATTTACCCTTCACAGGAATTCATTAAGAGAATTTTTAAATTTGAAATGGAGGAGTGTCGTTTTTGTAAGTCATTATCGGAATCAACAGAACATTTGTTCTACGAGTGTGAAACTGTAAATAATCTTTGGAAAGAAATATATAACTGGTTGATATCTAAATCTCTCCAAGTTGAACCATTTTCCTGGAATGGAATAAAATTTGGAATTTCAATAAGGAATAAAAAAGTTGAATATTTGATTAATAATATTATACTGTTTGCAAAATTTTACATTCATAAATGTCGTTTTACAAAATGTCTTCCAGCTGTAAAAGCATTAAAAAATGATTTATTATTATTTTGTAAATCTTTGAAAAAAATTAATACAGCCCCAGCAGTCAAACTTTTTTCAATAATATCAGAATTTAAGTTGGTATAAACCCCACGTTTTTATTTTATTTTTGTTTTTATTTTATTGTGATGTTAATATTATTTTTTATCCCTGATTACTCGCCTATAATTTGTTGTTAATATTTTTAGAATGCACTAAGATGTTGTGGTTTTGTTCGGGATATTGTTGGGGAGGTTTTTTGTATGTATATTTTCTGGAAAGTTTGTTGATTGTGAAGCTGTCATTGTGACTGTCTTTGTATGTCTTTTTGTGTTTGTATTGTTCTAATAAAAAAAAAATAAATAAATAAAAAAAAACGACTCAAAAAACAAACAAAAAAAAAAAAACTACTACTTCTTTTTTGGTTTTATTTGGCGGTTGGCAGACACGTTTTTGAAGTGTTACCGCCACCTGCTGGTTTGAAGTGTAAACTGGAATGATGCTTAAAAAAAACAATTAAAAATTAAAATCCATAAGGATAAATAAATAAATATAACTCATTTTCTTTCAGTTAGTTTAGCTTGTTTCAGGTGAAGATGTAACAACTTTCTCCAGCTTCCCTAGTGTTTCTCCCTTCATGTTTCCAGCTCCTCAGCTCCACCTGCTCTCGATCACAATCACCCCAGGTGTTCATCGTTGTCTCGTTAGTGTCTCTTAGTTCAGCGTCGTCGTGTTTCCTCCCTGTCTGTGGACACTAGTCATCTGCCATCCTGCTCTGTTCCTCCGTGCTCCTTTAGTTTGTAAGTTTTGCTGCTATGACAGCCTTTGTTTCTGTATTTATTTAATAAACATTTTCTTTATTTTTACCCTCTAGTTCCCTGTGTCTGTCTGCACCTGGGTTCAGCTCAACCCAGAGCTTGATAACCTGAAACAGGTATGATGATTATTATTCATAACCTTTACGCTAAACCTCTTTGAAATGTTCAAGCCATAAAAGTAAAAACGATTACCGGTAATTCATAATTTTATATATTATTATAATAATGTGTTGTTCCCAACACGTTTTTTTTTTCTCTTTACGTAACAGACATCATCTACAAACACTCAGAAGAGCTCAAAGCAGCAACATCGCTCTTCTCATTCCCAGTCCGGGTGATAAAGACGCTGAAAATTCTCTGACTTGTGTGAACAAAAGAGCAACGTACCCCACAAGACTGAAGGGAAGCCATGTTAATCGTCCTCGCCTTCATCGTCCTCTTCCACCTGGCTGCTGCTATCCTACTCTTTGTTGCCACTATTCACAATGTAAGTACACATGAATATTTATACTTTCATAGCATGGGACTTTATGTACTTGAATTCATTCCACATGCTTCTCCCTGCTGAAGGCGTGGTGGGTGGTGTCAGACCAAGGTGATGTCATCTACACTGATTTGTGGTACTCCTGTAACGTCACCTGCTACCCTGTGAAGAACAGCCACACTGTTGCAAAAGGTAAGACTCTTGACTCTCCTCTCCTGCCACGAGTGTGAGCCGTTTCTGTATTTGAACGTCCTCTCTCCCTCAGCTTATCTGCAGGCAGTTCAGGCTACGATCATCCTGGCCACCATTTTATGCTGCGTCAGCTTCTTCGTCTTCATCCTGCAGCTTTTCAGCATCAAACAGGGAGAGAGATTCATTTTCACAGCTGTGATCCAGCTGTTGGCCTGTAAGTAAAACGGTCATCCATTTTTAAATTTTAATTCCTGTCTAATTTCTTAAAATAAAAAAATAAATAATTACAAGGCAAAACCATGGAAGTCATTTAGCCAAGTTTCTCCTTCTGGCTAACGATGTGCAATCTCTAGACCAGGGCTGTTCAACTGGCGGTCTGTGGGTTTTGGATTCTGTCTGGCCCTGGAGCAGTTTGTTGACTAGCCCTGCTATAGATGGTCTAATTAAAAAAAAAATACTTTATTTGAGATGGGTTGCATCATCATCTTTCCATAATCAACCACGTGGTCAGTTTTAGCTGGGTGGAAAGGCTAGCTGTTGCTGCAGTCATATGTACCATTAATCACTGAACTACTTGAATTAGAAATTCTACTGCTACAGTGCTTGAATGCATAAAAGGCAGAAAACTTGTTCAGCTGGGGGTTTTGAGCCCGTCCAGTTCTACAGATTTTTCTGAGATGCAATTACTGTAAACTATTTGTCAGGTCTGCCGTCATTCCCAGATCAGACTTTCAACGCAAGTCGTGTAAATGTTAACAAGTCAGACTTGGGCTGTGTGCAGATGGGAATACAACTTTTTTTTTTATTTTATTTTTTTTTATGCTTTATCAGACATAAAATGATGGGTATCTGAATTCACCAAACTAGATGTTAGAAGCTGACAATACTTTAATATTTTTAATGGGAAATGTGCTCCTATTTGTGATTCTCTGCTGTAGCAGCTTCTCACTTTGTTTGAAACGTGCCCGTTACAGCTCAATTTGACGAGTTGGATGGCTCGACCACTTTACTGTCCATAGAGGGGTGAAGTAACTAGTTTCTAATTCACCCTTGGAGTAAAAGTTTTTTGTACAAAATGTTTCATTTAGCTTCACTGAAACATTTCTCAAATCAGTTTTTCAAAAATCGTCAACATTTGTTTCAGCTCTGGTCTGTTTTGCTTTAAAGTCTACGGTATAGAAGAAATTAAAGGTATAAAGTTCAAACACGTGGCTCAGTCACGCACTTAAAACTATTCTAAAACTTTGACAGGGAAAAATTCTAACTTTTTTTTTTTTAAAGTTAAACTTTTGTAGATGCCCGTTATCCTCCTCTTCCACTCCTCTCCTGGTCAACACATTTTCGACTGGTTCACTCCAAATGAAAGGGGCGTGTCTTAAAATGTTTCCACCAATCAGCTGTGGCACTCGGCCAAGTAAGATGATTTAACTTGTATTTAAGCTTTGCCTCAAAGAGCAAATTAAAAGAAAAATAAGACAATAATATTTAAGGGGTGGTGCAAAGGCTAGAGAAGGTGGGCCTGTGATTGGAAAATAGCCGGTTCAAACCCCGGTACTGACATAAAAAATGTAGGTGGAAAAGGTGGAGCACCCACACCTCCCTCCACCCTCATTTGCCCCACTCTGGGCCCTTGAGCAAGGCCCTTAACCCCCATCTGCTCCCCCTGGCACCCTAGATGGCAGCTCTCTGCTCCACACAGGGCTGGGGTAGCTCGGTGGTCTGTGGTTGCGTCAGGAAGGACATTCGGCGTAAAAACGGCGACAAGTCCTTCAAGCAAGTTGGTTCGCTGTGGAGACCCCTGAAGAAGGGAGCGCTGAAAGAACAGAGAAAAAGAAGGGGGGGAGTGAGATCACCAAAGTTGACGCTTTTTTTAAAATTAATGAATTAATGAACATTCTGTCCTTCACGGGACGGGTAATAATTAAAGATGGTTTAATATGTTCTTTGATAAAATTCTTTTAAACACAACATTCCTTAGTGTATGTTTTTAAAATGTCAAGAAAATGCAAATCAGACATTTCAGGTAAACTTGAAGACAAATCAACATACGGTTAAGTTAATTTTGTTACAATAAAAAGTTGCAGCTTGTTTTCTGGCTATAAACATTTCTTGATGCCTGAGGTGGAGTCCCCTTGAAGCTGATGCTGGTGTTGTGTGGGATTCAAAAATCTCTCTCCCTCACTTCAACTAGGGATAAAGGTGCAAGAAAACCTTATTACCATTTAAACCAGAGGGCGTCTTCACCATTGTGAGTAGTTGAAAATGGGACAGTTTGTCTGGACCCAGGACGTACCAAGATGTGAGACCATGACCGTTCACATTACTGGCAGATCCTGGGGGGTGGGGGGGTCTTTTTGAAAAGCGGAAAAAATGTCACCTAGGGCACTACAGTAGTCCCTCGTTTGTCGACGGGGATCCGTACCCTGAAGACCTGCAATAAGTGGAAAAACCACAAAGCATTAATAGTAGTACAAGTAGTAAGTAGTTTATTCTATTATATAATGTATAAGGTGGTTTAAACCCTTCCAACACTCTTGCAATATTCTAAACAATGTTTCTAAACTCTAAATGATCTAAAACGGCACAGAATGTCATGATTTCAGACATTGTCATATCGACGGCTTCATTTTACCACAGCACAAATTGGGCAAGTAATAAAAGTGCAGCTGCAACTTGCTTTAGGTGAAAACTAGATGATGATGAATCTTTTCCATTATGCTAACTTGACATTTCTTTTATTTCTCCTTCTTCCAGCTCTATGTGCGCTGATTGCAGCATCCATCTACACGGCTGAGAACAAGAGTTTTCATGAGACCACGCTTCAAAAAGGCTCCTTCGGCTCCTCCTACATCCTGGCGTGGATCAGCTTCCCCACCACTCTGATTAGTGGCCTTATGTACCTGATACTCAGGAAACGCACATAGAAATGACAGGGATGCAACAAATACTGATAGGATCTTGAACACGTGTTCTCTCCGACCCTGAGATGATTATTATTTTTTTAAGTGTTTCAAGACAATCTCAGCGACGGGTTCAGATGTGGACTTTGAGTCATTTTAACACATGCAAACCCAAAATAAGTGCATTTATTCTACTTGATGGTGCTTCAATATTTTTTTTTTTGTTTATATGTGGCAGATGCATGTGCATCAACCCCATCCTGAGTACTAATGTGTCTGCTTTTATATACTTCAGCCTCTGTTTCTAGAAACATCCAACACGAGTCATTAAACTGGTTCATGTTTGATGTGCAAAGGCCACGATTTTTTTCGACTCACTCTCCTGAGTTATTTACTCCACATAGAATTGATTTAAATAAATTCATGCCACATGCATCTGTAATGATCTGTCCCCACTCAGCGTCGGCTCCTAGATGCTCATTAAACTTTTGTTGCAGTGTTTTATTAAAACACTCCACAACAGCAAGATTAACCAAAGGCTGCACTCTTCTTATGAAACGGCAGATAATTTGTTCCTACATCATAGTTCAGCTCTAAACTCTCCTAAAACAAGTTAAAAAACATTTAAGTTAACCAAAACATACAAGATGTAGTGACGTTGGTGTACAGCCAAAATATGACGTGGAGGATTTTATTCTTTGTATTCCTTTTATGACGGACTTGTGTTCTGTTGGTGAAAAAGGAACTGATGTGCCGTGATATTTGGGATTACATTTGAAAGACAAACATGCATACTTGAAATGAGAATGAAGATTTTTGTCGTGGCTTCTCTGAAGAAGATAAAGCTATTGTATGAAACCACTTTTTTATTTTCTTGTATTATAAAATTACATGGATGATTTGTCTTTGTTGCTGTCTGGCCGGGCTGCTCTGGGTTCATTCATTAAAGTGCTATGCACCTGTGGCTTTTGAGAATAATGAATTATTAGAGCAACTTACCAGCCATTGATTTTCTTTAATGCTTTCTGACATTTTTGATAGAAATACTTAAGACTTTGAGAGGGGAAACATTTCAGAGAGCAGCAGAGTATTAACTTTACAGCTGCTACAAACTTTGAATCTCAAAATTTTGATTTAAAAGTTTTTATCTCTAAACTTTGTGCAAATCCCAACACTCAAGTTAAAATTCGATTCTAAGCTTTTCATTTATACTTATAAGACTGCTGCATTTCCCTCATGTAACTTGAGTACATTCAGTCTACATTTATTTTCATGTTTGTATCTGAAATTATATAGTTTTGAAGAGTTTCTACAGCTACTACAAACCACTATTATCCTGAAAAATAATCACAAGTCAAACTTCAATTCATGTCTGTTCATTCTTAATGTTAAGTATTAATTCCACATTGAGCATTTCATTATCTTAAATTTTTTTTTTTTTTACAAGCTTAAATTGAACATGTTTTTCCTGTTTGGTTTGACAAGTTTTTAAATGTGTAGCTTTGCATTTTTTTAAATTTTACTTTTTAAACAGGCCCTTCTGGCTTGACTTTGCTCCCCCCCCCCCCTTTTTTTTTTGCTATTGACTTTGACCTCAGTTGCAACGTCGCAGGCAGCTTCAGTCATTTAAGAGGTTGTGTTTGTATGCATCACATTTCCTGACTGAAAGTTGACAGAGAAAACTGCAACATGTGTTTTCAGGCTGCAGAATTTCTGCGTTTCACCTTTTTGGATAGAATCTTAATAAAAGTAAATGTGCGTGTCCATCTGTCCCTGCTTGCTTTCTTGTCTATCTTATGGAGAATGTGTCACACTTGGACCTTTTAAATAAAGAACCCAAGAAAAAAGTTAACGGCTCACCAGAACTTGGGTAAAAGAGCACAGCATGTCATGATCTCTCGGCCACGCCCATTTCTTTGCTGCAGAACAGCGATATGACACGCTGCAGGAGGACGCTTCTGCAGCTGTGGGCTGCACACAGGTGCAGCAGGTGCTAAACAATTTAAAATAATTTATTTTAAATAAAAATTCCATGTCGATGGTGCGACTCATCCATCGATAACCAATTGTGTGTCATGTCCAATCTTATTTTGAAAAACTGCGATAGTGACTCCGCAAACAACGAACCGTGATGTAGCGAGGGATTATTGCCAATTCAAATTATTATAGAAAACAGCTGAACAGAACCATAACAGCAGTAGTCATACCAAGTAACGGGTTAATTTGTAAACCGATCAATGCAGGGTCTGGGGGTCCTCCCCCAGAAATTTTTGAATAAAGTAGATGCAATTTCCTGAATGTTGGTGTATTTTAATGAGTTGTTAAACATCTACATGCTTATAAAAATTTTAAAAAGTTGCGGAACCCCAAGCACTGGGTCGTGGACTCTCGGGGGTCCGGGGACCCCGGTTTGAGAACCACTGCTCTAAACCGTCCCACCACCCCTAGACCAAAATGACCCAAGGGCAACAAGAGGTAATCTATCATCCAAGCTACAAAACAAAAAGCCTGAAGAACCTCAAAAAGTCCCCAGTCAAAAAGTCTCAGCTCTGTTGTGCATAACTTTAAATTATTATTGTCATAATTATGCGTACACAGATAAAACATACATCCTCCTCCTTCATGTCTCAAAGAGGACCAACTAGAATTACATCATGTCATATGATACATAAAGGATAAGCTTACATGAAAAACAGGAAAATGTAGACTTTAAACACACAAACAGTGATTCTTCTCTTCAGTCTCCATTTCTTCTGGTCCAACTTGTTTTCTTCAACACTCTCCTCTCATTGGCTGAAACCAGTGGTGGGATGTAACTAAGTACAAATACTTCGTTACTGTACTTAAGTACATTTTTCATGTATCTGTACTTTACTTAAGTAGAGTTAAATGTGGGTACTTTATACTTTTACTCCACTACATTTTACATCAAGTATCTGTACTTTCTACTACACTACTTTTCTATAATGCGTTGTGTTACAAGTTACATTCATGTTGCGGCTTTTTGATTTGTTTGTTACTTTGAAAGTAACCAATGGTGAGAGGGGAGTTGGTCCATTGAATCACTGCAAAGTGGGCAGGTAACGTTAGACCCACCTTCAAGAAGAGCTGGACCAATGACATATATTCTAGTATATATGAAACTGAGATGGGAGCACCCGCAGCACCGCTAACACACCCAAAATGTATTCCACCACAAGAGAGTCAGCCAGAAGATATGCTCCACCCATGGCCTTATTGAAAGACTGCTCAGTACAAAAGGACAGATTCTCTCTCCCAAAAGAACCAGATTGGACTCAAAAATCTTCGAAAACCAACTTCTTCTGAACTTGAACAAGAAGTTCTTGCTGCAATATTAAAATGTGTCAGTTCATGGGACGTTAGGAGACAAGAGATGTCTCCAAATGTCTCGACACTCAGGTCCAAGTTTTAAAAATGGTGTCAGGAAGTTAAAATATTGTTCACTATTGACCCATTACAAAGTCGACTAGACATATTTGAACTAGAGTTGATGACAAACTGGAGTTGAAATGATCAGATGTTCCTTTGTTAGTTGTGTCTAATGCTCCTTTTGTTCAGACAGACGACTTTTACTTAAATGTGTTTACTGCAGTTAAAATGACACATTGGTTTTACTTTGTGTTAAATAAAACCTTTAAAGATATAATCATTCCTCTTTCTTATTTTGCTTAATGGCATTTAACTCTGCATGTGATCCCTGAAATTCTGATGCACAGAATCACAAGTCCAAGTGTGAACGGTGTCACAGAGTAAACACAATAAAAACATGTATTATCTGCAGCATTGTTCATTAAATCGGCTCAACACTATTAATGTATTACAGAAAATATACATACGGTAGGCACACTTAAAGATATGTAGACCATTACATTATGTAATTAGGAAGTACTTTTCCTTTTAATACTTTAAGTATTTTAAAAGCAAGTACTTATTTACTTTTACTTAAGTAAAAATGTTAATGTGGTATTTCTACTTTTATTAAAGTACATTTTTGTCTGTTCATTTGTACTTTTACTTAAGTACAGTGTTTGAGTACTTTCTCCACCACTGGCTGAAACTGACCGCTACCAAAATTTACGGCTCCATTCCTTCCAGGCTGCTGCAGCTGTGGAGGATCTGATAACACGTTTGGTTAACACAGGTTGGCCAGGCTCAGTGGGTTTAACCTGTATAAATAAAGGTTGAATGAATGAAAAAAAAACATCTGTTAAGTTCATGGCAAAAACCAATGCAGACATGTTCCTGTTTTTAGTAACGCCTAGGTGTGTTTTCTTTTTTGCTGCTTTTCCTTTTACAGGTAATTACCATTTTATTTTCACTTGTTAAAAAAAATGTACGCACCCTTTATAATTGTTTTTGTTGTCCACTGTTGTCATTACTCTGTTAAAATCAGGTCTCTCTTGTAAATGAGTCCCTGAGGCTCAATGGGATTAACCTGTATAAATAAAGGTTGAATTAATTTCCCTATTGTGCCAGTTCATTTAGTACCAGTTTCTTCCAGTAGGGGGAGTCAAGTGAACGTCGTTGGTCATCCGCCAACTCCTTAAACAAACGAAGAAGAGCAGCGGAGGAAGTTACCATTTAGCCATAGCTAAACGCTGCATGTTGTAGCTGCTCATCGTAGCAGGTAATGGAAAGTCCCTAGAAATCGGATGTTTATGAGGTAATTTCAGTTTATAATTTGAAAAGTTATTTATTGTATTCTAATTGTTTACTTTGAACACATGAGCGGTATGGGAGTTGTCTATTTTTTTTTATCCATCACCTGTCCTGTTAGCGGTGTCTTCGTTCTAGCTAGCGCTGAAGTTTAAATGAACCATTTTGTTTTGAACAAATGAACAGCGTAATGAACGAACGGTTCTTTCAATTGTTGTTATCCAGGTCTACTTTGTGTCATCGTAGTCGTACACGCACACGTTTTCGGGCTGGTGTTTTGTTGTGCCCCCCCCCCCCCCCCCCCCCCCCACCAAAAAAAAAAAAAAAAAAGATCAGCGTCGGTGAGAAATGAGCGTCTTGTTGTTGGGTGTACAGTAATTTACTAATTCGTTTTTCATTTCCTGCTTTGTTTGAACGAGTCAAGCTGTATTGACACTCCACTACACATACTATCCGGAGATTTTAAACAAACAAAAATAAAACCTTTGCAACGGCTATGGCAGGATATTACAAAACTGATCTGGTTCATATTCGGTTCTAAAATTATGAATCTAACTTCACGTGTACACAAAACAAACGTATCATTTTCCACAATGTCATTATTATGTAAACAAACAAAGTCGTTGATCAAAAATGCTGCTTTTTTTTTTTTTTTTTTTCCAGCTGCCAACATTTGATCACAACTAAGTTAAGTGCTGGAAACCATGGGTATACTGTACCAGCATTGAAATCATTTTATATGAATTGAAGAAGTTTCTAGTTTTTAAATTCTTATACACACGTTCCTTACAACTTGTGAAACATTTTAAACTAGCCATAGTTTATGGCCCATAAATGTGAATTTTATTAGTGAGAAATTAGGGCACCTTCTGTGATACTGAAATTTATTTTTTGTATGCTCTTATATATATATATATATATATATATATATTTGGCAGACAGCACTTTATGCCACAACATATTTGAATATTGAAGCAGAAAGTTTGTATTGGAATATTCTTTATTATTCTATCAAAAAGACTTGAACTTATTGTATATGCTGTGCAGTGAAAGCAGTTTTACTTAAATGTGTATATTTTGCTGTCTTTTGCTATATTGATCACAGCTTCTGAGCCTCCATTCCTTCCACTTGTGCGCATGCCCCTGTAGTTTCTTCACACTAAGTTAATAAAGCATACAAGTTGTACAAGATGAGTAAAGACACTCGAGTGTACCTGGGCTTGGCCTTTAGAAGATGGCGTGAACTAAAATCAAGACGTGGAATGAAATCAGATGCAGATTTGGCCTTCTGTCTTCTCAATGAGTAAGTTATTTTATGGTTACTGCAGAATAGCTCTCTGCTTGTTAGCATCTTTAAACTATTTTGCACCATCTATATTAATGTGCTTGTCTACATGCTATTTTCACTTTCTGTCACCTTGTTCTGCTGCAATTTTTTTTGTGTGTTTGTGCGGTATATATTGTTTGTGTTCATTTAAATAGTCCTTTGGTTTTCAAGGTTGCTAGTGATTATAAAGTAGTGGCCCGTGGGCCACTTTAAGTTTGTTGGAGGGGGCTTTTTTGGCTAGTAGGGGTGACGTTATAAAACTAAAAATATCTAAGGATTGTAAACATGAATATTTTTACATTTTGGAGACTGCAGTATAGCTTGATGGTCAGTGCCATGGTCTTCTAATCCTGAGGTTGTGGGTTCAAGCCCAGGTTGGGTCAAGAAGGGCAGCCGGCATAAAACAAATTGCCAAATCTTTCATGCGAGCTTACTCGCTGTGGCAACCCCTGAAAGCCGAAAGAAGTTTACTATTAATATTTTTACATTTTAAGACGAAAGCAAAGATCAGATTCTTGCACATGAGGAAAGAGATTTTCCCAATTAAAATAAACAAATAAATAAAACACAGCTATGCAGGCCTATGGGATTTTTTCTTTCATTTTTTTAACCATGGAAAAGTGTATCCTACTTTGAAGAAATAAAGCATAAAATTAAAATGACTATGTTTTACTTCTTGTATTAGTACTTGTATTCACATACTTGCAGAAGAAATTACAGGAAATTAGCTAAAACTAGTCCTTTTTGTTGTTGGTATAACAATCAATATTAATCAGTTTTATGTTTGTTTTGGGGCAGCACGGTGGCGCAACTGGTAGAGCTGCTGCCTCTCAGTGAGCAGGTCCCTGGTTCAAACCCCGGTCCAGGGGCCTTTCTGAGTGGAGTTTGCATGTTCTCTCCGTGCATGCGTGGGTTTTCTCCGGGTACTCCGGTTTCCTCCCACAGACCAAAAACATGCATGTTAGGCTGATTGGTAACTCTAAATTGTCCCTAGGTGTGAGTGAGAGAGTGAATGGTTGTTTGTCTCGTTTGTCTCTGTGTGTCCCTGTGATGGACTTGCGACCCGTCCAGGGTGTACCCCGCCCCTCGCACAGTGGTTGCTGGACATGGGCACCGGCGACCCCCGTGACCCAAAATGTAATAAGCGGGTAAAGATAATGGATGGATGGATGGATGTTTGTTTTGGTCAAAGACTGAACGAGTCACTGCAGAGGGACCAAATGGGTCCTGGGTTCCTCCTGGTTTGTGGCTTCAGAGCTGCAGGTTGCAGACCCCTGGTCTAGGCCATAAAATCTGCTATAATTTTCTAAACCTTAAAGCAATTTTAGCCCTTACACACAGTCCTCTAATTAATCTAATGGTTGCAAAACGCTTCTCCAGCTGTTTTTGATTTGTACCACTTTTGTCTTTTGTTGCCCTGTCCCAAGTTTTTTGTGTTTTATTGCTGCCATCAAATTCAAAATGACCTTATTTTATCAAAAAAATTGTACAATTTCTTGGTTTCAATATTTGACGTTTGCTGTGTTTTGCTTTTGATAAAATATGAGTTTTTGAGATTTGTAAATCATTGTGATTGCATTTTTATTTAGATTTTACACAACTTCCCAACTTTTTCAAAATTTGTGTTGTGTATATTGATGTGCATGCCCAGGTCAGAACCAGAATAAACTTTATTGGAATTGCACCGAGGTACAATGTGAATATGTACGTACAGTCATCTGAAAGATGGGCGGAGTGCACAAAGCTGCAACTACAGGAGAGCGCGGCCATTTTATCCTTATCTGATATTAATCTTAGATAGGAAAAGGGGGAGAAACATGAGGGTAGATAGTGGTATTACAAAAAAAGATCTTTCACATCTTGTCTATCAGGACACGAGTTGAGACATCAAAAAACTCTTATCAGCAGCACAATTAAAACATGATTACATTTGCATTTGACATTGAGGTGTTGAGATTTGTCCATGAGCGTTTTTTCAGATCAGCCACAGTTTCTGAAGATGTTCCAGCCAGTAGTTCTGATAAGTCTGCACAGAAAGTTCTTGGGGGGGGGGGGGGGGTGCAATAGATGAAGCTTTTGTCCTTGGGTACTCATGTCCCAGGAGAAATTTGATAGTCAGCCTGTCTCCGAGGCCGTCGGGAGTCAGATTCAGATAAGCTTGGTTCTTGTTTTTTCTTCAGACAGATTACTTTTTCTTCAGCCTCGAGTCCATCTGGGCATTCTGGTTCCGAAAATGCCTAATTGTGGGATTCCATTCCACTGATCCATGTTATGAGTCTCCTTCAAGGTTGAACCCACCACGCTGACGAGTCCCAGAAGCCGCAGGTGATCTGCGATTCTCAATCGCCTCCACCTTACGGTTAAGCTCGTAAACCAGACGATTTAAAGTTCACACAGCGAGGACCAGACCTTCACACTGACTCGGAAGCTTTTCCATGGCCGAAGCTGCTGCCGCCGTCTTCTTCAAAAGTCAATAAAACAGAGCCCCGCCAATGCCAAAAAGCAGAGTCCCTGCTATCATAATTCCAAATATATAAACGTCTTCAACATCCTCCTGAGACAGGACTGAGAGACACATCATCTGCCACACTCCCCACGAATCCATGACGTACCCGACAGCGTGAGTCTCAGCTGGACACGCCGGTTCTCCAAGACCTTGTCGCTTTGATGAAAAAATCTTATCGATAGAGTTGCACGCCCACGATACCAAATCCATAATCCTAATTTATGTTCGGGAGATGAGACCCAGGCGCTTCAGACAGACAGAGAGCAGAGCAGGAAGAAGGAAAAACGGGGGAGGAAAAAAAAAAGCAGCCACCTCGATCAGAGCCTGAGAGGAAAATGTCCCAACTTTGTGTCGTATTTGATGTGGCATGATGATAGCATGGGCTTTCTCTGGTGTTATTACTGTGATTTTTGTCCTGTGCTGCAGTGTCTCTTTAGTTTTGCACGTCTCAATAGTTTCCTAATAACGAGGCAGCATTTTCTGCGCTCCTAAACGTTGAAACATAAACTTTACTAACTTTGTAATCTTTGACCTTTTGATTGTTTCAAATCAGAATGGACAAAGTTTCCACACTACCAGGTTCAATGGGAGCCAACAATCAGAGCATCAAAATCTCCAAATCAGAAGTAAGTGAATGCATGCTTACATTTGCAATGTGTACATATTGTATTGCTAATTATGAAGGCCATGCAGTAACTTTAAAAGTTTAAATCTTCACCTGATACCAAACATAATCAGCTTAATGTTAGGTTTTATTTTAACAAGAAAATCTAAAAAATTTTAACGTTGCTTGTTTGTGACAAACGCATTACGACTGATCAGTTTACATTACTGTACAAAAGTTTTAAAACATTGCCATTGTTTCACAATTTGCTTTCAAGAAGGCAGACTTTCTTGTAATCTTTTACATGTATTTAGGTTTGTGTGTTTTGGTTTTCTGAATTTAGCTGATTTCTCTTCTTTCATTCTCTGTCCAGTCCTATTGGACAATTCAGTTCAGTTTATTTATATAGCGCCAAATCACAACAAAGTTGTCTCGGGGCACTTTACAGGAACATTCACATACATAGAAAAGCCAATTAGTAAAGTTCTTTAAGGAAGCAGCAGACTGCATTATGTGTGGTGTGTGCTTAAAAAATGAATAAAGTCAACAAGCAGAGACTGAGGAGAAGTGTCGGGACTAAAAAAACAGACAATACCTAGAGCCAATGAACAGCAGATGTTATGTAACAAACTGTATTGTATTTAACATTTTACAGTTTTTTAAACAGATTCCAATGTGGGGATCAATTGTCTTTTTAACTATATGCTTGCAACAAATTGTTCTTAAGTTTGATTTAAAATCCGTGATTTCTGTTTTGTGTTATCACTGGTTTCCTATTTTATTAGGATAATTTTTATGCATGAATGGTGAAATGGTCAGGTGCTGGACTGGAAAAAAAATCAGCCAAGCTCCAAATAAAACTTTGAAACATCTTCAGAACTACTGAAGCACTGTTTATCAAGATCAATTTATAAAGGTCACAAGGAAGTCTGGCTGTTTAAAGCAAAATGTCAAGAAATGAGGGATAGGTCAAGACTTTTTTGCACAGTACTGTAAGTATAGTAAACTTTATTTATATAGCACCTATTTACAGGTCAGCAACCACAAAGAGCTGTACAGAATATAAGCCATAAAAACACAAAAGATAAAACGGAAGGAGAGATAAAACAACATACATGTGATATAAGACAACATAAAACTAATTAAAAGCTGATCTGAACAAATGTGTCTTCATCTGCTTTTTAAAAGTATTAAGAGAATCAAGGCATCACAAAGTCAGAGGCAACCCTCCACAGTCTGGGGGGGCCACAGCCCTAAAAGTTTTATCCCCTCTGATCTTAAAATTAATCTGTGGGACCATTAACAACCTTTGACTGGAAGGTCTGATGCTGTGAGAAGAGGAGTAGGGCTCTAAAGGCTCCAGTAAACTTGCGCTGACCTTTTTCCGCGTGAACTCGACGCACACTGTCCGCAGAGGGTTGAGATTTCATACTCGAGTGTCCACCCTGAGCGTCTGCAGACCAGCTCTGCAGGCAAGGGGCGTTTACCTTTGGGACAAATTGAGTTTGCCGATTGGTCATTTGCTGACACGTCTACTGGATTGATTGACAGGTTGTAACCCCCCTCCCCCCTCAAAAAAAAAAACAGCTGGCATCTCCAGCTGCAGCGGTGTTCTGTGTTTATATGTTGTTAATACAAAGTTCTAAAAAATAAAAAACACAGAGAGCGCTGGCCCTGCAGCCCACACATCAGACCAGCCCACCAGGAAATCTCCAGACCCTCCCGCAGCCATGCCAGGCCTGATTTTAATTTGCTTGTGACAAATTCCTTCATTTCTCACCATTTCAGTCATGGCATCAATGGAGGAGGATTAAGAGATCACTTGCCTCTTGAAAAGAAAAAAAAAAAAACATAAGAAAAGGCCATTAAATCAGATCAGGGAGGAAGAAGGGGAATTTAATACATTGGTGTTGCTTATAAAACAGTCACCGGTCAGTTTATTGTGCGACACAGAGTACACGTACACGGTTGTAAAAATTGAGTTTTGCATGGACATGCCCTGTGGGCGTCCGCTTCGACTCTAATCCGGTATGCGCTGACCTCCGTGAACTGACGTACGCCAGAGTGTACTGGAGCCTTAAGGGTGTATTCATACCTGCCCTGTTTGGTCTGCTTTAATCAAACTCTAGTCCGTTTGCCTAGAAAGTCCGGTTCGTTTGGGAGGTGTGAATGCGCAATCGAACTCTGATGCGGACCAAAAAGGCGAACTCTGGTTCGTCTAAATACCTAGGTCTCGGTTCGGTTTAAGTGAAATCGAATGCAGTTTGAATGCATTGTGAATGCAATCGGACCGGAGACCGCTCCAAAGGCAGGAAGTGGACTACAGCGCAGGGCATCCTGTGTAAATAAAACCAAAACAAACACGCATTTCTCATACCTTATACGGAGCCGTCTCAGCTGCCTTGTGTGAAAAACAACATTCTCCATGGTATTCTGCCTCATCTTCTGCTCGTGCTGAGTCCATTGGTGAAAAATGACAAAACAAAAATCCTAAAACCACTAAAATTTGATGCCATTCCATTTTTGTTTTTATTTCCAGAAGAATAATAATAGTCATATATATTTAATAAGCTGTGTCTTCTTCAGAGGTTTTTGTGTTGTTTCCTTCAGTAGTTCTTGGTGTAGCGCCACCACAGGCGAGGGGGGGAACAGGTTGGCTCAACTGACAGTGCAGTGTGAATGCAAACCGCACCAGCTGAAAATGTAAACTAATGTTCTGAATTTTGGTCCCCAATCGAACAGTCTACCAGACTATCAGGTGTGAAGACGACCTAAAAGGTCAGAGATATAGACTGGGGCTTGACCACTTAGAGCTCTAAAAGTAAGAACTAAAATTTTTTAATGAATTCTAAAATGTACTTGTAGCCAATGTAAAGAGGTTAAAACTGGCATTATGTGCTGTCTTTTCCGTGTGTTGGTTAAAAGCCTTGCAGCAGCTTTCTGAACTGTCTGCAAACAATCAAGATCCTTCTTAGTCAAACACATGAAAAGACTGTTACAATAATCCAGACAGGATGAAATAAGAGTCCTCAAGGCTCAATGGGATTAACCTGTCTAAATAAAGGTTGAATGAATTTCTTATTCGGCTTTTGACACAAGAGACTTAAGCCTAGAAATATTTCTTGGTTGAAAAAAGTGATTTCTGATTAATCTACGAGAATGGCACCGCAATGACATGACAGAATCAAAAATAATGCCAAGGTTTCTGAGACTTGGTTTAACAGAAGAGGCTAATACACCAAGGTATTTCTTAATTTGAGTTATTTGATTGTCAGGGGCAATAATTAAGGTTTTAGTTTTATCACAATTAACCTGCAGGAAGTTGTCACAGAGCCACTGTTTGATAATGCTAATACAGTTTATCAAGGAGAACATTCAGAAGGTCTGAAGGACTGTGCAAAAAAAAAATCCCAAAACAAACAAAAAAAAAAAGTTGACACCCACAGACTGTATATAAAGTCATACTTGTACATCAAATACTTTTAACTTTTATATAATTTGAAATGTCTGTTCTGCTGTGTTGTGGTGAATCTTGTGCACTGTCATGTAAAGCTGTGTGTCTGTCGTGTTCCTGCAGGTTCAGACTCTGATCGAGCAGGAGGTCCACAAAGGACTGGCAAAAAATCAAGTCAAGATGAGGGGTTTAATAGAAGCCGTGCAGCAGATGAATAATGACCTCAACTTTGAGAAAACCCTCCGAGATCTAGAGGTGTAGAAGTATTTTCATTAAAACTTTTAATCTTCAGTATTTTCTTTCTGTTTGATGTCTCATATTTTAAAAGCACTGGGCTTTTTTTTTTTTTTAAGTTTACTCCTTATCTTAAAATGGAATTCATGAGCTTACTTCTGTCGTTACATAAAACTCTTTTGTTTGTCAGACTCAGCTTAACACTGTGTCCAGGAAAGCAGAGGCAGCTCTTGCCTACATAACAAAGACACATGAACAGGTATGCAAACACATTAACTAATGAATGCACGTGTACTATCTATTTAGAGTCCATAAATGGTTAAAAACCAAAACAATTAGACTTCTATTCTGTAGCTGAAGATGGTTGGCTTTTCATCCAAGGAGCTTTCTCACTTCAACAATGGAGAGTGTGAAAAATAAGGCCCTATTTACACGGACACGGTGGGGGGAAACATAGATTTTTTTGTATGTTAATTAGAGGAAAACATCCGCGTTGACACGGACGAATTTAGTGTTTACATGCATCTGGAGGAATCCCTCCCCACCGAATCCACTGTAGTTATCATGCCGGGTCATTAGATGGCGCTGTGAATTTTGTACCTTCACCTAATGCGCATGCGTGCTGCCTCAGCACACTCCTAAAAGCTCAGCTAACAACATCTTAACAACAAGTTAAAGCTTTATTTTGGATAAGAGTCGACAGATTTGACGCCAAGCGGGACCTCTTCGTAACAGCTCCACACCGGTCGCTGAGTGGACCAGAACCGAGTCGAGGATGTCGAACTTTACTCCGTGATAATCAGTAGCTGATTTACAGCAGGTAAATCAATGTTCTTAATAATGTTAGCTTGTGTTTACTTCGATCACACAACAACTAGCTGAGTTTTTATTTTTTTCCTGAAAGAAGAAGCTGTCCTTCCACCAGGCGGACCGGTTCTGAACGAGGCTCGGCCCAGGTGCAAGGTGCAGTGCAGGAGGATGTCGAAGAGAGAGCTGTTGGATGAACTATTCATTTAAAATTCCCCTCAGTTCTTTTATTCAATCATTTAATGTTTTAAGCTGCATTAATCAAAGGAGTGACAGCCTGAACGAGCCAGATGAACAATGTGGGACCAGTATATCCAGGATGAAAACAGAGGAGAGTACAGTTTATTCCAAAAAAGTTCAATCTGGTCCTCTGGACATTCAAAAAAACAAAAAACAAAACAAAGCAAAAAAATCTAGAAACGTTTCGTCTCTCATCCAAGAGACTTCCTCAGTCTGAGGTGCTGTTTTCTGCTCAGTCTCTTAAATAGTACCTTCTCAGGGTGGATCAACCAGTTTTGCTGCTGACAACCAAAACC